GTCTGTTATCAGCTTCCACATTCAAATGAATTTATTGAAATACATAATGATGTTGAGGTGATGAGCATGTTAAGTTCACTACAATGTGGAGATAAATATGTATCTGTGTATATGGATGTGGGTCAGAATGATGTTCCATGTGGCAGTGTATCAAATGTAGGAGTTCAGGAGAATGTTGGAGATGTACAGAAAGATGTTGATGACTTCACAGATGTAGACTATGAACCATATGGAGATAGTTCTAGTGATGATGGCCTGTCTGAAGGTGATTTAGGAACAGATGATGAAGAGTATTTGTCTGCCAGGAGAGATAAACATAGAAATGGCCAAGATGATTCATTAGCTGATATAGCGGAAATTATCAACTCACATCAGAGTGGTGACTACTCAGATGATAGTGATAGTTCAATATGCAGTCATGAAGAGAGTGTTGATGGCTCAGATGATAGTGATAATGTTTGCAAGCCAAAGAAGAAGTGTGTAGTGTATGATCCTGAGTGTGATAAAAAGACCATACAGTTTGTTCTTGGGATGAGGTTTGTCAGTGTTGCACAGTGCAAAGATGCAATACAAAGTCATGCTGTTTATAATGGCTTAAATATTCAGTTTATGAGAAGTAGTGAAAAACAAGTTGAAGCTAGGTGTACAGATGGTTGTCCTTGGAAATTGTATGCTAGTTTAGTAAGAGCAGAAGGAATGGTTGCAATTAAAACACTAGTGTCAGAACACAAGTGCCACAGGGACATGAACACTAGGCAAGCATCATCAAGTTGGGTGGCAAAAGAGTTCTTGGAAAAGTTTGGAAAAAAAACAAGGATGAAGGTAGGTGATCTAGAAGAGCAAATTCTTGACAAATATGCAGTGCAACCATCTAGATGGAAATTGTATAGAGGCAAATATAAGGCTCTAGAGTTGCTTAGAGGAACAGAAACTGAGCATTATGCTTGCTTGAGAAGCTACATTGCAGAGTTACAAAGGGTTGATAGGAGTGGCAGGTTTGAACTATTGTTGGATGTTGGTAGTGTTTTTAAGGCTTTTTTTGTTGTATTCAGTTCATTAAGGCAGGGTTTCTTGGAAGGTTGTAGGCCTGTGATTGGTTTTGATGGTTGTTTCCTTAAGACATGTGTGGGAGGTGCTTTGTTGTGTGCCATTGGTAAAGATGGTAATAACCAAATATTCCCTATAGCTTGGGCTGTGGCAGACTCAGAAAATGAACAAAATTGGAAATGGTTCTTGGAGATATTGTTCAATGAGCTCAGAATTGGGGATGGGCTAGGTTGGACTTTCATCAGTGATCAGCAGAAGGTTAGCAATCTTTTTGTGTTCTTAATAATTTTCTATCATAGCTAATTCCTATTGTTTTAC